GATTCTGGGTTTTTTGTTTCTCCATATGAAGCTGAGAATCTTTTTTTCAAGGTCTGTAAAGAATTGAGTTGGTATTTTGATGGGAATTGCATTGAATCTGTAGATTGCTTTTGGCAGGATGGCCATTTTCACAATGTTAATCCTACCAATCCATGAGCACGGGAGATCTTTCCATCTTCTGAGATCTTCTTCAATTTCTTTCTTCAGAGACTTGAAGTTTTTCTCAAACAGGTCTTTCACTTGCTTGGTTAGTGTCACCCCAAGGTACTTTATGTGGTTAGTGGCTATTGTGAAGGGTGTTGTTTCCCTAATTTCTTTCTCGGCCATTTTGTCTTTGGTATACAGGAGGGCTTTTTCTGCATGCTGTCACAACTACTATGAGTTCATAGGTGAAACTGGCCTGTTCTGTCTAGAAAACTGTTTCCTTGAGGTTTTCTACCACCTCTGGCTCTTTTAACTTTTTTTGCGCTATCTTCCATAGTAATCCATGAGCCTTGAGAGGAGAGGATGTGACATAGGTGTCTCATTTAGGGCTGAACACACTACAGTGTCTCATTCTCTATACCTTGACCAGTTGTGGTCTCTGTATTAGTTTGCATCTACTTCAAAGAGAAGCTTCTCATCAGAGTTGAGAGATGCAATACTGTATGACTATGATAATGCATTGTTAGAAATTAAATACTATGACCACAGGATCACAGTGGTACAGCCTGCCCCAGGGCCTTTCACCTGTCTAACCATGGGTTCTTCGCCCCAATAACAGTGCCAGGAATGGGTTTCGTTTTATGGACGAGGCCTTAAATCCAATCAGATAATGGTTGTTTACTCCCATGATATTCTTGCCACTATTGTACCAGTGGACATGTCCTGACAGGCTGCTCACTACTGTAGCCTGTAGAGTTCACAGCTGGGTAAGGCTGATAATTATTTTCCTCCTCTGATAGCATGCATAGCACCCCCCAAAATTATGAAAGCTAGCAAGTAGGGATGAAACTTCTAAGAGAGCACTAGCTTCATTACTTTATTTATAACTCAAGTGGGTCGTGTTTTCTACAATAAGGTCTAATTGCCAAGTTCTGGGAGTTAACCAAAAGCACTGGCAATTGCTTGTAATGTATATGGGTCTACTGGTTCTCAGTAGATAACTATTCCAAAAGTGGTAACCCATTTTACTGGGTTTTTATTTGTTAGACTATTGTGTCTACTATCTAATTTAATTTGAAAATTTTTATATGCATACGTATGTGTACATTTTAGGAAAGTTAAAGTACGGATATTTTGAAATTAACTGTGAGCATAATACTGAGGAATTACTGCTACATCTTAAACCTCTAATCTAGTCTAGCTTCCTCCCAGCCAAATTTCTTATACTTGCATCTTTTAATCCTTGCCTGGCTCCAGTTCACTTCCTAGACCTCTTCTGTGGCTATGTCCTACCTTCTCCCTCTTTCTCCTCCCCTTGCTGGACCTGGATGTCCCACCTTTTTCTCCCTATCACTAAGAATTAGCTAGTCAGTGTTTATTGGCAGAACAGAACACAAATGGTGGGCATGTTTATACAAATTTGAGCCTGGGATACTTAAACCTTACATTGCTGTGTTCATATTGAAACGAGATAGTGGGATAGAGAAATCAGCATTTGAATGAACAAGGGTAAAACTTTACAGTCTACAATAACATGATGCCAACATTTCTCTGGTGACACCTGGTGTTAAACATTTCTTAGTTGTTTCTCAGCCATCCATGTTTCATCTTTCTAGAACTCTCTGCTTAGTTCTGAAACCCACTTTTTTTTAAAATCAGTTATTTACTTTCTTGATGTGCAGTTTATTTAGTTCTTTATGTATTTTAGATGCTACGACTCTAACAGATATATTTGCCATACAGAAGGTTTCCGTGTCATGGGGTCCCTTTTGATTAATTTTTATTCTTAGTGCCTGTGCTAATGTTGTCCTGTTCAGAACCCTCCCCCCTTTTAAATCAATAAGTTCAGACCTATTCTCCACTTTCTCTTCAATTAGATTCAGGATATCTGACTTTGTGTTGAGGTCTTTGGTCCATTTAGAATTGAGTTATTTGCAGGTGACGAGTGTGGATCTATTTGCATTTTTGTGCATCCTGTTTGTGCCAGCACCATTTGTTGAAGACACACTTTTTATCCACTGTGTACTTCTGGCTTCTTTATTAAAAAAAAATGGGTGTTCATAGATTTGTGGATTTATGGCTGGATCCTAGTTTAAGTCCATTGATCAACATGTCTGTTTTGGTTTGGTTTGGTTTTTACAAGAACACCTTGTTATTACTACAATTCTGTTGTATTACCTGAAATCTGAGATGGTACTACCTCCAGCAGTTTTTGGTGGTGGTTGACTTTTGCTTGTTTTTTATCTTTTAGAACTGTGCTCACTATCCTGGGATTTTCTTCCTCCCTTCCTTTTCCTTCCTTCCTTCCTTTCTTCCTTCCTTCCTTCCTCCCTCCCTC